AGAGAGAGAGAGAGAGAGAGAGAGAGAGAGGCCTCAGAAGAAACCAACCCCGCTGATGCCTGGATGTCTGACTTCCAGCCTCCAAGCTGTGAGACAATATCTGTTGTTTAAACCATCTTGTCGGAGGTCCACTATGGCCTCGTGGTGCCTCACAGTGACTGTCGGGAGCCCTCCAGCCCTCATGGTCCTGGCTCTTGCCAGGGACACCAGCCTGCGCCGGGCAGAGCTAACTTCCAGTCCTCTTTCTGCCACTTCAGAGCTGTGTGGCTTTGGTCAAAGCACTTCCCTTTTCTGAGTTCTTAGATTCCTCTTGGTAAAAGAGGGTTTTACCGTCTCACACTGTTTGAGGACTAAGCAAGCTGATGCATGTAAGCGACCCAGCTCAAGGTGATGGCCATGCCCCGGAGCAGTGATTATCATAATGAGTAAGGCTCTGGGATAAGGTAACCCAGTACAGAGGGGGAAGAGAATTTGCTGGAGAACAAAGTGGCTGGCCATCCAGAACAAATGCTCTGGCCTGAGGGGGGGCCGTGGGTCTGGGGGGGACCAGCGCTGTCCACACTCTCCTCCGACCTGTGGCAGGGTCTAGGCCAGTGGTCTGCTCTGAGCCGGCCATTCCCAGCTGGAGCGGGCCATTGCTTCCTGCCGAGTGCCAGGCTGTGTCGGGAAATGGGGGTGAGGGGTGCCCCCTAGGTGCCCTGGTGCAGGCCCCGCCCAGCCAGTTTCCGGAGCTCATCCCAGAAGAGCATGCTGAGGATTGTGTGGGGGCCCAGGCGCAGGTAGGCTGGGCCCAGACCCTTGTAGAGTGCCAGGGGGCCCTCCTGCCGCCAGATCTTCACCAGGCAGTCGGCGAGGCCACCATACAGCTGGCCCTGGGGACAGACACGGGGCAGATGTCACTACAGGGAACGTGGCGCCCTGGCTGGCACAACCAGGGGTGTCTGTGTGTGGGGGCTACTGTGGCACATCAGTAGAGAGACTCTCCCCAAGCTGGGCAAATTCTAGAAAGGTGGCCCTGTAGGCTGTGAAATGTAAGAAGCCTCTTCATCCAGGCAGCCACGGCCCCATGCCTGGGGGCTGAACTTTGGCTAGTGGCACACAGGTGGATTTCAGCCCTCACTCGGCCTGTGGAGGGCACCTCTGTGCTGAGCGCAGCCTGCACCGGTGTATGCGAGGGCCCGTGTGCGTGAGGCCGTGGGGTCAGGCCTGGATTCTGATTCGGGCTCCTCCACGTATCAGCCGGGCGACTGCACACACAAGTCACCAGATCTCTCTGAGCGTCAGTTTCCTCATCAGGAAGATGGAGGTGATGGTGAGGATGGAATAAAACCCAGAGGTGAAAATGCTTAGCCCATGCCTGGGACATAGGTGCTCAGCAAACAAGGCAAATCGATGCGTCTCCATGCATGTCACGTATCTGCGTGTCTCTGGCTGTGTGTGTGTGTGTGTGTGTGTGTGTGTGTGTGTGTGTGTGTGTTGGAGGGTGCTCTCCAGCTTCCCACTGGCCCCCCACCCCCCGCACCAGCCCCTGCTCACTTTGCCAATTCCGTCCACGGGCTGATTGTATAGCCGCGTGCTGACCACGTCGAAGGGGGTCATGACTGCGGCCACGGCGACGCTACTGATCATGCCTCCAGCCAAAGCCACCAGCCAGCTGTCCTCCGGGAGCCACTGTGGGGTGGTACAGGTTCTGATGCCTGCAGGTGCCCTCCCCCCACCCGCAAGGTACCCACCCTCCCCTCCCAGCGTGTGGGGGCTGGGAGACCTAGGGGAAGGGGAACAGACCGGGTGCTTCCAGCTACCTCCCACCCCAGCTCCTTCACAGCTACAGGGCTCACTGCTGGCCCCCACTCCTGCTGGGCACAAGGGCCAGGGACATGACCCTAAGGGCAGAGCTAGGGTCCTCAGCTGTCTTCAGGGGCCCTGTCTGTCACCTCCCCGTTGGCTTCCCTAGGTGGGGGTCCAGCTGGAGATGTTAGGGAGTGATGAGGGCCCAGAGGGGGAGAAAGGAGGCAGGCAGCCCTTACTTTGGGGTGTCTGTGGGTGGGCAGGCACAGGTGTCCCTGGCTCCTCACCTGTTGTTTCTGCACCCAGGCCTTGGCAGAGGCAAAGGTGGCCAGCTGGGCCGCGGAGCCGACCATGACCCTGGGCACGGCCCCACCCACGCCCCGCCATAGTCCTGCCAGGCCTTGCTGCCGCCAGATGGTCTCCAAGGCCCCCAGAACACTCTGCGGGGAGAAGACGCCGCATCATGGTCAGCCCCTGCCGGCCCAGGAGCCCATCCGGCCCAGGGAGCTCTGGGGAGTGACGGTTCCTACCTGGTGATGGTGCTGGTGCCCCACAGCCATCGCGGCCACCGTCTGGGCCTGCAGCTGTGTTTTGACCTGTGACAGCAGACGTGAGAGAGGGCCTGGACGAGCGCACCCCGACATCCAGAGCGCCACGAGCCCACCCCCACAGCTGAGGGGGCGTGTGGGATAGGGTCGGGGGCGAGGCTCTGAAGTTAGCCTGGGTCTGCATCCCGGTGTGACCGGAGCAAGTTACTTAACCCCCTCCAGGCCCGTCCGCTCACGCCTGACAAGCTGTTCTGAGGACTAAGCGGGATGACGACGGTACAACACGCAGCCGGGGACGCGGGGGCCTCGCTTATTTTTCACTCGCACAGGCTGCACGGGAAGATGGGTGGCCACACGGGGGTGGAGCCAGCACACGTCCTGCCACCCTCTGCCCCCTCCTCTGGCTCAGGCCTGGTGGGGCAGGGACCCCAGGAGGATGAGGATCAGGACCAGGCTCTGGGGCTTTGAGCCAAGAGGCAGATTCCAATCCCGGGCAGGGATGTTCCCCGCCCAGCAGGCCCCACCCGGCCGTCCAGGTCGGTCCCGCAGGGCCAGCCTGGGAGGCTCCAGAGTCCCCGGGCGAGCTGGGTCACGGGGTGATGGAGGATGGAGAAAAGGCACTCACCAAGTAAGCAGGGCTCCCCACGAAGGCTCCCAGTGCCCCCGCCACGGCGCCTGCGACCACGGTGCCACCAGGCTGTTGGGTGAGGCCAGCCTGGCACGCCAGGCTGTAGCAGTAGAAGCGGACGCCATTCATGAGGCCCTGGTAAAGGAGGCCAGCGGCCAGCCCCTTCTGCAGGCCACACAGCCCATCTGCACGGATCACTGCGGCCACCGAGGCAAAAAAGCCCCTGTAGGGCCGCGGGTAGGTGCCCCGGGCCCGCAGCTCCCCCTGCAGCTGCAGCCGCGTCTTCACCACCTCTAGGGGGTTAGTGAAGACACAGGCCAGGCAACAGGCCGAGGCGCCTAGCACCAGGTCCACAGCGGGGGCAACCGTCTCCTTGGCCTCTGTTCCTGAGGCCCGTTGCGCCCCGGGCAGGGACATGGGCACAGGCCCTGGGGTGGCGGAGCTTACGCTGTCTGCACCCCCGCAGGGCCGCCCGGCTGGGGATCAAGGGGGCCTGGGGCCATGTCTGGAGGGCAGACGTCCAGGTCAGACAGGCCGCCGGGTGGCCCCTGGTCTATCCTGGGAGTCCACCTGCTCTGCTCGGCCGCTGGGGCTGTTGGAGCCCGGGACACGCCCCTGCTGGCTCTGACCAATCCCAGCTGTCTCTGTTCTCCACACCTCCCCGCAGGGGTGGGCCTGGACCCTGGGATCTGGGGAAAAGGTCACCTGGGGCAAGAGGGAGATTGGGGGCGGGGAGAAGGTGTCAATCAGCTGAGACACCTCCTCCTGTTTTTCTTATCCTCCTGCCCTCCCTGTGGCGCTGGGGCGAAGGGCTGGTGCCCCTGCCCCGCCTCTGGTTTAGCCAGTCCTGCTGCAGCTCGGAGCCCTGGGCATAGAGCAACTGCCCGGGAGGCAGCTGCCGAGGCTCCTGAGGCAACGGGCAGCTGACTGCCCACAACCACCCTGCCACTGTCCTTGTGGCTTCTCCGTTCCCGGCCTCAGTCTTCCAGTCTGGTTCCCACAGTCTATGGTCCCACTGAGAGCAGAGGTGGAGAAGGGCTTCTTGAGCCCTGTGGAACTGCTTTTGAACCCCGGGCTCTGCTACCATGTGTGACTCTGGGCAAGTCACTTTCTCTCTCTTAGCGACGGTCTGTTTCTAAAACGGGGATATCAGCACCTACTTCAG